ACACACACACACACACAGTCATCCGTGCCACATCACAGGGGTTAGGGGTGTAGCGATCTGGAAAAAAAATTAAGAAACCACTCCATTTAAAAAAAAAAAAATCTGAATTTTTAAATCCTGGTTTACTTCTGGTTCTGCGGGCAGAAGGCTACACAGCAGGTTGCTTCCAGGCTCAGTATTTCTAAAACAGCAGGTACACAAGGACAAGGTGAAGCAGGAGACACTGGGAACGACCAGAAACCAGCCAGGTAGAGGGCGGAAGCAACTTACTAATGGCAGAGATGACTGTCAACTTATCTGACAGTTTCTCAATTCTTAATCATCTTGACACATCCGTCTATCCATCTTTGTCACTCTGCTTGTCACGATGAGTTTGGCGACAGGCTGAATAGACCAGCCCAGACCCACCTTCCCCTGCCATGGACTCCTGCTACTTTCAGGGTATTCCCAAGGTAACTGGGACAATCCCAGCAGGGTTGTGGCCTGTGCTTCCTGGGAGAGCTTGCAGGTGGTTCCCACAACCCTGACCAAGACAAATGGTTAGAATATGGATGGATGGATGGATTTGACCCTGTGGAACGCGCCCAGATCAGCTCCAATGGGAGATGGCCAGTGGGTAACCTTATAAGAAGCCCTGTTAGACCTCAACAGATTCGTCTTGATTTGAAGAAAGAACTCTTAAACACCAAGATAGTCTGAAAACAGGTTATCCAAGTGATCTCATGAAGCAACCTTAAAAAAACATATTAAAACAAACCTGGCATGTCATATGAAAACATCTGTAACGTAATGAGTGACAATTAAACTGACATAACTCATGCAGTTAGTTCCAGACACAAGGACCATAAAGGAGTATGACTGGTAACTGGTTTCAACCCACAAGTTGGTGACATAAAAATGTAACAATTATCTTACAAGCTTTCTTGCTATTAAAAAATATATTGACATTTTATGATAATTCTTAAAAGTCTCGTCTTAGTGCAGGACAGTTTTTTTGATATGAACTGACCCAGATCCCTCTGTACTGGGAATAGGTGTTACTGCGAAAAAAGGTGAGTCATCAAATACAAGCTAATAGGTCACATGCCTCTTTTGTTTTTTGACGTTTTGGTTGCAGTACACACTTTACCAGAACGTTTTACCTTGATAATTCTTCAGGAGTCCCTGCATAAAAAGACAGATTCCACCCTCTTCTTCGATGCCTTTGTAGTGGTCATTAGCGTCCTGCTGCTGTTTTGTCCTCAGCAACATCACACAGTTTCCAGCCTTTCCAGTCTAATCACATGCTACATGGACGTCTATCATCTTTTGAGCCAAACCCATGGATTTCCTTGACCAGGACATACTTTCGCAGATGTAAAATGTAGGGGTACTGCCTGGTCCTTTAAGCTATTTTGTCCCATATTCTTTGTCCCTTTGCCAACTTCCAGTTGCACCTCCTGTCATGCATAAAGGTGATGAGGAGATTCCCTCGGTTATGTTACATTTTGCTTTCAATTCCAATTCCAGCCCAGGCTTGACTGTAATTTATTACAGCATAATTTATTCTATCAATACTTACTAAAACTGGTACTTCATTCCTCTTTAACAACACAGCTTGACTTACAGTTGGTATGCTTGGGCACTGTCTCTTCACACCTCCAGAGTCTAAGCTTTGAAACTTTCCATTACTTTGGTTGTGTAGAATTTGCACTTTCTCCTTTTTACTGTGTCCAAAAACATTGCCCACTAAATTGCCCACTGTACATACGCCCTACAATGGGCTACCATCCTGGCCAGGGTGCTCCCCTGATTTGTGCCCTATCTTGCCTAGGACAGCCTTCAGGACGCCAGTGAGCCTGTCTGGCTTTATCAGGTTTAATTCTTTAATATTATTGATATTATTATCCATGCCTTCCACTTTCAACCATTATCCCAGTACATGGCCTCCCAGTTCCTCCTGTTTTAAACATCAGCATTCATACCCTCATAGGAGGAAAAGCAGCACCTGCAGTTTCTGTGTTTGCACAGCGCTTAAAAAAATAATGACAATATGACGGAGCCTTTTTGCGGAAGCAAAGGCCCCCAGAGACGCCTGGAGCGATACCATGTGACCCAGGGCCGCATCTGAGCAAACATTTTCCCCAGCACCGCTGGGGCGGAACAGCTAGTGTCACTAAACCATGTCAGAACGCTGACCTGCGAGACTCGTCAGTGGGACGTTTGATCAACGAGAGGCCGAGGGAGGCATCTTTCTGAGACGTCTTCATGCTCAGCACTAGGCAGGACAAGCCTGAAGCCCCAGTGAGACCCGAAACTCAGGTTCAGGGTACGACCGGCATAACCCGACTGGGTACACGTCCCCAAAAACCTGGCTGTGGTGTAACAGTACAGCTGCTAGAGACACGGTGGATCCAATACAACAATGTATTGTCATTTTTAATCAAAGGGCACTAGAAAGCTACAAGAAGGACTAAAAAACACTACTGTGGTAGACCTAAATTAGTTTGCCTGTAGTTTTGGTCCTACATGATACAATTGCGGTTCATGTCTTCAGAAATATTGGTCTAAGTAATTAGTCCAGGTTTCTGGTCGTTCTCCTGCTTCACCTTGTTCTTGTGCTGCTGTCTTATGAAATTTTGAACCTGGAAGCAACCTGCTGCTCAGCGTAGCCTCTGCCAGCAGAACCACAATTAAACCTGGATTTAAAAATACAGATTTGTTTAAAAATATAGAGTGGTCTCTTAATTTTTTCCATGGCTGTATATTGATAAATTAATAAAATATAAACAAAATGCATTTCAGCATTATTATTATTATTATTATTATAACCATTAAAGTGGGTGGGTCATTTGTGGGCATGACATGTATCGGGATGACATCGTATTTATTTACATTTATTCAGCAGACGCTTTTATTCAAAATGACAAACAAGTGTGAATTCATGGTCATCTAGTCTTTGAGTAACTGGGCTGAAGGGCCTTGCTCAGGGGCCCAGCGGTGACATCACTCTGACATCACTCTGACATCACTCTGACATCACCTTCTGACTTGTCCTGACGCACAGAGCCGCACACCAGCACACATCTTGACTAACTTTTCTTAATTCCACGTCACCAATGTACGAGAGATAATAAGCACAGAAGTTCAGCAGGTTACCATGTTGCTTGTTCCTCATTTTAGGTTTTCACTGGGCTTCCTATTATTTTGATAAAGTTCAGTCTTAAGGCCTCCATCCTTGCAGACACCTTTCACTTTTGATATCAGTGGGGGAGGATGAACAGTACCTAAGTGAAGTTACTCTTATAGATAAAGAGGCCATATTAGTTTCAGTTCATGTAGATGAAAAAGATAGCAGATATGGTAAAGGCAGCCATTAGCTCAGGCTTTCTTAGAGCTAATGATATATAATGGCTGTTCTAATGATGCATGAAAACCCTATAACAAAAATATATGTTGAAGAAAATCTCAAAGAAAAATGTTTTTAGAGATTAAATTACATGTCTTGTTTTGCATATTACCACAACATCGATAAAACAAAACAAAAAAATATTTACTGAGTCTATCTGGAAATATCCTGATGCAGTGGCTCATGCCTAAAATGACAGAACGTCCTTGTAACGTTTCCTTAATCTTTTAGCACCTGACAACACCATAGCAATTGAAGAATAATTTCCTAATTTCCAAAATTCACTCAGTCCATTTTTTTGTTGTTTTTGAAACGCAAATGACGTAAAGCCAGATTTCATCATATGTTACAGTATGGGGAACCAAAACTCCTCATATAATCCAAAAAAGGACTTTCATTACATTTCCAAAACTTAAGTCCACAAAAATTTCCTTGAAGATATATGCTGTGGGCTGATTGAGTTTTAGAAATGTGCTCCTCAGTTGTCAATAGGGCATCACTTGAAGTTTGCTGCATTATCTGCCAAAACCTAAATAGATTCATTGTCTGTCTCCTGTCTCCTGTCTGGCCAAATGTGCCAATACAACTTGTCACACATTTATATTCATCACGTTTTAAGTTACACTATTTTACATTGCTGATTAAAAAAATCTGGTTCTTTTTGATGGTGAACAGACCCACAGAACATGGGGATTGGAGGCCCAAGAGATCTTATCTTCCCTTGTTGTAACTCTATTGTGCTATCAGCTATCAGTCACTCCAGCTAAACTGCAATGCCGTGATATAGCCTGCCTTCATCATTTCAGCCGTCCAGGTCTCCATTCATTGGCTACAGGCTGACTTTTGGGGATGGATACCTGTCTATGTTTATTCGTGGTCCCTGACTTAATGGGTGAGCATTCCTCACCACCCAGACCAGTAGCACATCTTGCTGGATAAGGCCAAGACCACCACTTCTGTTTTAACACAGAAACTTTGGAATGATCTATCACACATCCTACCAGCAATATGAATGCATTTTTCATAGATATGATCAATTATCCACAGAATATAGCGCAATTTAGAATCAGCAGTGTTGGAAAGTTTAGTGATAAGTGATTCAGGCACTTACTGACAGATTGCTCACCCCAAAACTCATATTCTGATATTGTGCTTGGTTTATGTTGACACATTTGTGATAAGCATTTATATTTGCTTTAAAAAACTTTTTTAAAATGTATTGGACGTATCTTACTGCAAAACAAAACAAAGTTTACCAAGTTTTTGTTAGGTGTCCGCATGCCAAAAATGTAGGACTGAACAATCATTGAAAACTTAAGAAATACTTCTGTGTTTGTTTGCTCTGGAAGAGGTGGGTGGAACAGGTAGAGTGTGAGACACTCAAACATGTCTGAAGGAGGCTGGTGCTCAATGGAGGTGTTTGCTCATGGAAATAAGATCACCTTATAAATATGACTGTGCAGTCATGCACTGTCAACATCGGCACACAGGCCGTTCGCTGGGAGGAATGGGACTGACTGGATAGTCTGGGAGAAACACTTGTATGTCCTCTGCTCTCGTTTTTCAAGCTCAAAGAGCTTGTGAGACAGTTATTGCAGTGGGTCTGTCACTTCCAGCAAGGGAGAACTTTATGCGAAACTGGGGTTTCGGAGAAGTCATCCTTCAAAACTGATGACCTGAGAGTCCGACGTTCTGAGGAGTGGTGAGTTACGCACCAGCTCCTGGGACACTTTCACAAGGGTTATGTGCAACGGGTGACGTGCACGGGACTGGAGAGGTGACCACACGACTGATACCTTCTGTACACCTGGTAAGGGGGGGGGGGGCAGACCTACAATGTCACTAGGTGTTGTCTAGGAGCAGAAAGTGAGGAATGGGGTCCAGTTTCAGTGATTTGGAGTCTCCCCCAGCCACCAAAACATACGGCTCGCCTTAACTAAATTCCAAAAAATGTGCCATTAGAAGGACAAGGTCCTTTTTTAAAAAATGTTTTGGATGGATGATTAACCTTCGGCAGTCAATGGTGAAAGCAAAACAAAGTACGTTCATGATAGACATCTTCCTGAGGTGAGATATTATCTGCAGGGTATGAATCACTTTAAGGGGAATCAGACTAAAGTTTCATAGGAATTCACTGGCTTAGTTATTAATTTTAATGTTAATCGATTTATTGCTGCTTATTTCCCTTCACAAAGAACAACTTTGGCAAATTATAAAGTTTAATTTAGCATTGTTACTATTTGTGCTTTCGGCGCCACTCATGTCCGTTATTCTGTGGATCTGCATAAAGGACGATGCAGTCAAACATGCGAGTCAACATTGCATTTAAGAAAAAAAGCAGCTGAGTCATGCATTCGGGGGAATATCACACAGCTAGTATTCCTGCTTCATCATCTCATCATCATGGCGGCCTTCGAGAGTGATGGTCCAGTAGATGATGGGCAGTTCTGTCAATAAAGAGCAGCTATTTGCTTTGGATCAGCTGGTCTTAAAGGATTAAAAAATTATTTCTCAGCTGCTTGTGCATCAGCCCGCAATGTGATGCAAAGGGATCTCTTCGGGTATTCTGGGTGGTTCAATAGCTAAGTGAGTCGGCTAACTTATTTCTGGAATTACTTCTCTAATTCCCATAGCTCTGTGGCCATTATGGCAAGTCCAGCCTGGGACCAAGGAGGAGACACACAGCACCTCTATTGGCCAGACGTCCCAGAGAGCTCCGTCATCCCAGAGCAGGATGATGACAGGTTGATCCATGATCAGCTACGCCTTCCTGGCTTCGACATGCTTGCCGGAGACAACGGGGAAACGTCGCTGGGAGCGGCGAAGACCCCAAGGGGAGAGCTGGAGAGGAGTAGCATGGCAGAAGAATGCAGCCTGGAGCTGGTGCAGAGTATGGTGGTGGGGGAGGTGCTGAAGGACATCAAGATGGCCTGCAAGATGCTCAACATCGGACCCAGTATGCAAGCAAGTTTATTAAGCTCCTAGTAGCTGCACGCACATCCACCAATAAAGAATTAGCTACTCTTATATCAAATCTGCTTGAAAAAGACCTATACACACAACAGCATTTGCAGTGCAAATCTATCATGCAGTGCATTGCACTGCATGAAATATTTGATGTCTTTTATAATATGTACAACCATCCATCTTCCAAGTGCTTGTAGCAGTGTTTCCCAATCCAGTCCTCAGGGACCCACAGTCGGTCTACATTTTCGCTCCCTGGGAGACAATTCACATTTTTGCTACCGGGAGCTGGGAGGGAGCAAAAATGTGAACTGTCTGTGGGTCCCTGAGGACTGGATTGGGAATCACTGTGGTATAGGGTCATGAGGCCCCTGAAGCCTATTGTATAAGGGAGAGGGCACCAGGCAGGGGTGCAGGCTGGAGGGATGCCAGTCCATTGAAGGGCACACACTTAGACTTGACTGATTTGCCTTACAGCATAGGTTCATACTGCAATAGTAAGGCAGAGTATTCAGGGTACATATGGAGAATATCTGCACGTACTTCACACTCCACTCACACAGAACAGGGGCTGGATTGTGATCCTAGACCCCGGAGAATTGAGGAGATTCTAATCAAACTTTAAATGCTTTAAGCACTTAAATCAAGTTAGAATCAAGTAACACTTTTAGTTCTAAGTTTTGACAGAGAAACATCACCACAATAAGGAATTATACTGAGTATTCTTGGTAGCTGACTGTGTAGCACTCAAAGTAGATATGTACACTCAGTAGTGATAGGAGATGTTAAATTCTGAAAGCCGTGTTGCATAGGACTGTTTGTTTGTCACCGCACTGACTGGTTTAACTGGTTTTCAGTTAGCTTCCTGTTAGGTAGATACTGGATAGGCTCCAGGCTTCTTGTGAAATATCAGTGGATACGTGATGGTAACATGGATGGATGGAAGAGTGTTTGGGATTTCCTATATACACAAAAAGATCACAATTGTACTGGGACCTATACCAGTAGAATATTTTAATTTCTTTATTTAAATTCTTTGCCAAATTAAAATGTTACAAATGTAATCCTCATATATTAAACCTCAACTCCAGCCCCAGATCAGGCGATTCTGTACGTCAGAAAGGCAGCTGGTTTGGAGTCGTGCTGCTGTGAGTCAAACCTCTTCGTAGGACGGACGTGTGACTCTGAGCGAGCGCTGGGACACACCCTCGGCCAGTTAGCATTGGCATTCCTGTACGCCAACGGTCAATGCGACGTCCTTTTCAGTGGCACTAGCGTACCGTGGCTCGGAGCAAACAATAAATGCAGGAGATGTCTGAGGTCACTGCTGCAGTGCATCTGGCACAATGATAAGACTCTTCCTTACAATCGCTTGGCCAGCAAATAGTAATTATGGTTTACGTGGTCCTCTGTAAACGCATATAAAGTCATAAAGCTGCTATGGGACAATGTATCTGGGACATCTTATCTGCAACTTATTGACAGAAGAAGTCAGGAACATTGCATGGTGCTTTAGTGGCCAGATCTGCTGTTTCCTACTGTTACACCTCCTTGGTTGTTGGGTTTATTGTTGGCTCTGCTTCCTGCCATAATACTCCAGACCCACTGCAGCCCTGTACTAGATAACAGCTACAAAGATGGATGTATGACTTTAATGATTTAACAGATAAACCGTAGCATCAGTTACGGCATGTGGCATGTTTCCCTGAGGGTGACCCGGCCCGCGGGATCCTCATTGCTGAGAACCCGAGCAGCTGGATTAAGCCAAGGGGACGCCCACGTAACACCTGGCTGTGACAGACAGATGGGAGGGTCAGACTGGACCACGTGTTGGCCTGCGGGGGGGGGTGTTGTCAACCGGAATCCCAAGATGTTTCATCATTTGGTAGCCGTGGCAACGCGCTGTACCGGCACGTTCTCCCCATCCTGACTTGATAGCTTTTGAGTTGAACTTAAAAAGCCTGGATACTATCTGGGGGGGGGGGACAAGGCAGGGGCACCCCGGGTGAGTGTACATGCATCGCGTATGACGAGAAGAACAGAGACACACGCAAACACGCGTCTCTCCGCAGACCCTGCAGAGTGGACAGCAGGCAATGTCCAGAAGTGGGTGCTGTGGACCGAACACCTGTACAAGCTGCCCCCCATGGGTGAGGCCTTCCAGGAGCTCGACGGCAAAGACCTGTGTGCTCTGACTGAGGCCGACTTCAGGCAGGTGTCCCTGCACGCCGGGGACATACTCTACGCCCACTTGGATATCTGGAAGTCAGGTATGGAAACAAAGCTTTATTAATAAAGCAAACTTCGCCAACCTCAAATGTGGGAGTGGTATAAATGATCTGTCAAGTAACAGTTAAAAATCAATTAGCTTTATGTTGTACATCAAGGGCAGTGTGGAGCTCAGGGGGCTAAGCCTTCATATCTATGATCAGAAAGTCATGGGCTCACAACCAGCTTTGGCTAAATACTCACATGTCTGTGGGACCTTAAACAAGGGCATGGGAGCAAAAATGATTGGTTCAGAACGATAACCAATCAGATTGTAGAGGAGGTGGGACCGTGATGTCTGATTGGTTGGTCCTGCCTCCTCTAGTTGCTTGGACCCAACAACAATTGGATTTGGCTGCCTTTTGCTGCCAAGCTTGCTCTCACTTACATGTGTGTCATGGAGAGCAAGAGGGGGTAAGCAAAAGGAATATTTCCCCAGAGGGATCAATTAAGTGTCTTTATTAATAGATCAAGATTGATAGATCAAGGTTAGTAATTTGCAGCTCCATACAATTCCCATAGTACATTTCATTATCATCTGTATAATTTTTTATCTTTACACCCCCCCAAAGATTCATGGGAAACTGGGTTATAATGTTGCTGGGGGATTCCTTTAGGGAAGTGTTTCTCAACTGGGGGGTCTGGGTCACGGGACCATTTTCAGTGGGTCAGCTACCTTTCCTGGCACCATGCCCAAGTGACTTAATGACCAAGGAAGAAGTTGGGTCCTAAGGCTCCTCCTACTGCGCTAGAGGACACATGCTGTACAGACACAAATATCTCAGTGTAAGGATATAGTTTTAAAAAGTTAAACACATCAATAGACATTAGATAACGGCAAATACTTGCAGCAGCAAATGTCAGGCAAATACTGATTTACAATATGCATTTGGCCTAATTCTTCATTGATTTTCAGCACAACTAAAAGTCTTTGATGTCAGAGGGCACAATTTTGGAGAAAAAAAAAGTCCCATAACTGCATATACCTTTTGAATAATAGAAAAATTGTGCTAATGCATATCCATCCATCTTCTGACTGCTTCTCGTTCAATAGGATTGCAGTGGGGCTTCAATCTCAATAAGGCAAGTGTTTTTGGTAGAATTCCCCATGACATAAATCCACCCAGTTCAAGGAAAGGCTATTACAGGGTAATGTAGCGTTAGTTGCTGGGGCTTGTGCTCCTCCTGAAGGAGATCTCCCGCAGCTGCTGCCTCAAAATGTGACAAGATGAACCATCTGTTCTCCCCTCTGTGTTACACAGCTAGTGAGCTGCCTTTAGGACCATTTCTCTTCCTCTCCCTTCCTCTCCCATCCTCTCCTTTCACCTCCCCTCCTCTACCTTCACCTCCCTTCCTCTCCTTTCCTCTCCCTTCACCTTCCTTCCTCTCCCTTCACACTCCCATCCTCTCCCTTCCTCTCCCATCCTCTCCCTTCACCTGCCTTCCTCTCCCATCCTCTCCCTTCACCTTCCTTCCTCTCCCTTCACCTCCCCTCCTCTCACCTCCCTTCCTCTCCCATACTCTCCCTTCCTCTCCCTTCACCTCCCTTCCTCTCCTTTCACCTCCCCTCCTCTCCCTTCACCTCCTTTCCTCTCCCTTCACCTCCCCTCCTCTCCCATCCTCTCCCTTCACCTCCCTTCCTCTCCCATCCTCTCCCTTCACCTCCCTTCCTCTCCCATCCTCTCCTTTCACCTCCCCTCCTGTCCCTTCACCTCCCATCCTCTCCCTTCACCTCCCTTCCTCTCCCATCACCTCCCTTCCTCTCCCCTCCTGTCCCTTCACCTCCCATCCTCTCCCTTCACCTCCCTTCCTCTCCCATCACCTCCCTTCCTCTCCCCTCCTGTC